TTATCTCTTTAGTGTCATTAAGGGTGATTGCCCATGCTTTTTTTTTTGTTTTTGTTTTTGTTTTGTTTTTTTCTTGGTATAGGGAGCTCGCAATATAAATGCAAAGTGGGTATTCATGATTAACAGTTGGAATTAGAAATGTCGAGGTTTTATTTATCAATGAGGATGCAATGTTTGATTTCATGGTTGCGATGGTATGAATGGGTAATACAAAAGAAGCATATTAATACACATGTTTTATATAAACATTATATAAAGCAAGGAATAAATCAACAAGAAATTCTTAATAGGTAATAATAGAAAAAAAGAAACGATATGATAAAACCTCGCGTTACACTACAGGACAAAGAAACGTCATCACATTCGCAGGAAAAAAACAATGCCGGATTAACCTCATGCTAATAATACGACACGATACCGCCCTGCGTGTTAGCTGTCGACGGCGGAAGCGTTAGTCTCGTTTTTTTTGCGGATTTCTCTTTTTCTGAAAAACTGTTTTCCTCCATTTTTTTTTTTTTTTATTAAACATTTTTTTTTTTTTTTTTTTTTTTTTTTTTTTTAGCCTTAACCCTCTTTTCTCTTTCTTTTTTGTGTCTTTTATTTAGGATCTTTCATTTCGTGTTCCTTTAACATGCACCGGACATTCCAAACACGAGCGTGGAGGTTATCCTATTATGTCCAGAGAATGAAATTTTAGTATTGTTAATTTACTGACATTAAATACCGACTATCTGTAAGTTTATTATAAACCGTGATAAGATCATACACACATTTGATATCTAGGAATCATAAAAAACACAACAACTGCAAAATGTGAACCTTAAAACAATAAGCATACTCAACACAAAATAACCCCTAAGCTCCATCACCAAAACACAGTGTATTAAAAATACTTGAGTTTCCCCCCTTCCCCAACCTCATTTGGGTAGCCGAGGAAAACACTTCGTTTTCTGTGACAGCAAGTATTTTACCGACTGACGATTCGTTTTCTTTGGACAGATATACGGACTCCGGGAACTACTCCTGTCTGCCGCCCAACGTCAAGCCTGCCTACGTTCTGGTCTTCGTCAGTCAGGGTGAGTTGTGGCACTCTACGATGTCTTTACGTGAAGTGTTGATAGGGGAAGAGAGAGAGAGAGAGAGAGAGAGAGAAAGTGGAGGAGGGAGGGAGAGGGGGAGAGAGAGAGGGAGGGAGAGGGGGAGGGAGAGGGGGAGGGAGAGGGAGGGAGAGGGAGGGAGAGGGAGGGAGAGAGAGAGAGAGAGAGAGAGAGAGAGAGAGAGAGAGAGAGAGAGAGAGAGAGAGAGAGACGGGAGGAACGGAGGGAGAGAGAGACCTGCTTTCACTCACTCATTCGCTATTAGAGAGAGAGTGAATGAGTTTCTCCCCACTCCCTCTCTTCTGCCTCTCCCTCTCTTACTTTCTCTCTCTCTCTCTCTCTCTCTCTCTCACTCTCTCACTCTTTTACTCTCTCGCTCTCTCTCTCTCTCTCTCTCTCACTCCCACTCACAGCCAAGGTAGCATGCTTTTCGGTTGTGGTGTACTTTTTCTGATTTCGTGAGTTTTTATCTGTGACCTAACAATTTACGAATACGAATACGTTGTAGAACGTTTCTTTTTCTAATTTTTGTAATAAATTAGGTAGATTTCGTCAATCAAAGTCTTCTAAGCCACTAAAAACTTTGGGGTAAATATGCGTCATGGTTAATATCGCTGTAAAAGTTTTTTTCCACCCATTGTCCGAGAATTCAGATTTTCGGTAAGCCGTTGATCACTGTTCCAAAGGCAGTCGTGCCATACTTTCATATAGATACATACATACATACACGTATGTACATGTGTCCTAGACTTGTTAATAAATTGGATGAACCAGTTAACTACTAATATCAACACATGGACGGTACTAAACTAAGCTGTTATGTGCAGTAGTCCCAACATGTACTTTCCCCCTCTATCAGCATTTAACGTCAATAGACTGTCAATCTATCTGCGACCTTTAGCAATACTAAACCAATTAATAACATTTCAAGTGTTTCAGCCGACTCAGTACTGGAGATACTCGGTTCGTTTCGCTTGTTTCACTCTTAATATATCGTTGGTGATTTCATTATTTATCCTTTTATTAGCGTTTATCTAGACTTAGTATATTGTTCTTTTCCCCGACTTCCAGAAAGTAGAATTATAATTAATACAATAAATTAGTGATACCATTTCTCTTTGACACAACTAATGAGATCATCTTTCTGTGGCGAAAGGATCACAAGAAACTAAATCAATAATACCTTCTGAGACTATGTACTAAAACTTGCAGTAGTCCCTGTTCTTAGTAAATCATTAATACCACCATGTTTTCGTGAGAGAGTGGGTACCACCACTCTTTCACAACACATGCAGAGCAGTCCCATCGTTTCACGGTACAAGTCACATAGTACCAACATTCTTTCATAATACACTCTACTAACTGTATCCCTATGCTTTTACAGTACTAGTAAATCAGTACCG